ATGCTTTTTTTTTTTTTTTTTTTTTACTTGGATGAGAACATATATGTGGTTCAGTCAGGTTTCTATTTGGGTTTTCCCTGCAAGTTGTGGAAACATGACAAAGCACACTTGGGCTCATTTAGGATACTTTATTTTTAAAGTGCTTCTGTGGACATTCCCTTGGTACAGATGACCACCTTGACTTTGTACAACCTGCCTACAAAGAGTCCCATTTATAAAGCAGTGGTATGCCCTAAAAATGGCTGTCAATTCTACAGAAATTCATGGAACCTTTTTTTTTGGGGGGGGGACAAGGGGCACTTTCCAGGAGGGTTCTCTCCAGGCTTAATTGTGACTTGCTATGCAGACATTGGTATCCAGTCAATGTTTTAAATGTGCCCTTTAAAAAATCCAAGTGGTATTCATTGAAGGGGTAGGGGAATGGTCATGCAGTATGTTTAGAATGTATGGGCAACAGCACCTTAGGTTGTGACTTCTTAAACCCATTAATGTTGTTTTTTTTTTTCTTGCAGTTGGTTCGAAGTCGTCTGCAGCAAAAGGGTATTGTAGTTCACAATGTACGACTAAATGGCTCTGCTGCTAGTCATGTGCTGCATGAAGATATTGGACTGGGATATAAGGATTTGGACCTTATATTTGTTGTTGACTTGAAAGGGCCTGATGCATTTCAGGTGGTGAAGCATGCAGTGCTGGATTGCCTCTTGGACTTCCTTCCTCCTGGGGTTAACAAGGAGAAGATCACACCAATGACTTTAAAGGAAGCTTATGTACAGAAACTGGTTAAGGTTTGTACTGAAAGTGATCGATGGAGTCTGATATCTTTATCCAATAACAATGGAAAAAACATGGAGTTAAAGTTTGTTGACACTCTAAGACGTCAGTTTGAGTTTAGCGTTGACTCATTCCAGATCATACTTGATTCAATGCTTTTATTCAACCAGTGTTCAGAAGCACTGATGTCTCAAAGCTTCCATCCCACTGTGACTGGGGAGAGCATGTATGGAGACTTTGAGGAAGCCATGGACCACTTGCGCAACAAGATAATTGCTACACGTAACCCAGAGGAGATAAGGGGAGGTGGACTTCTTAAATACTGCAACTTGTTGGTCCGTGGATTCAAACCAAAATCAGAAGTGGACATGAAAACGATGCAGCGGTACATGTGTTCTCGGTACTTCATAGATTTCCCAGATATAAGAGAACAGTTAAGAAAACTAAAATGCTATCTGCAGGACCACTTTGTGGGCATGGAGGACAAGCGTTACGATTGCTTGATGACCCTTCATAATGTGGTGAATGAAAGCACAGTATGTTTAATGGGACATGAGAGGCGCCAGACTTTGACACTAATTGCCTCTTTAGCACTTCAGGTACTATCTGAACAGAATGTTGCCCCAGCGATCCCAAACTTTACCTGCTACTACCAGCCAGCCCCATTCATGGGTAATGGGAACTACAACAGCTACTATTTTACGCCTTTACAGCCTGTTGTGTCCTGCAGTCACTCCTCATACCAAACATGGCTCCCATGCTGCAACTGACATGCACACTGAGCAGTGACTGGGGTATATGCTCTGCCTGCTGGTCTCCTAATCAAAATAGAAAAACCTACATTTTGTGTGTTATTAAAGTGGTAACTTGTTATAGTGTTGGCTGGAGATCATAAAGCATTCATTTTGCCATATACTCCAGTCTCTCATCAAACTGAACTTACTGAAGGACTACCGTTTGGTATTCTCAAATTTTATTCCCCCCCCCCCTCCCTGACCAGATTTGTCTCCTGATGCAGGCTTTAGAAATGTAATTAATGGGTGTTTGGACCAAAGAATAGGAGTTAGAACTTTAAGTGCCTGAATGGTTTAACTCCTAGCTTCCAGAGATCCTTTCTGCCTACTTTCAGTGTTCATATTGCTTAACACTTTTGCTGAAGGTCCTACCAGCTCAGCTTCATTCTGACTTTCAAGTCATTTAATCACTGACTTGTAGGGCAAGTTAGCTGTAGGTGACCCCTCACTTGTCAGTCTGTAGTGTATTTTCCCCCCCCCCCCTCCCTGACCAGATTTGTCTCCTGATGCAGGCTTTAGAAATGTAATTAATGGGTGTTTGGACCAAAGAATAGGAGTTAGAACTTTAAGTGCCTGAATGGTTTAACTCCTAGCTTCCAGAGATCCTTTCTGCCTACTTTCAGTGTTCATATTGCTTAACACTTTTGCTGAAGGTCCTACCAGCTCAGCTTCATTCTGACTTTCAAGTCATTTAATCACTGACTTGTAGGGCAAGTTAGCTGTAGGTGACCCCTCACTTGTCAGTCTGTAGTGTTAAGTGCCATCTCTTTATACACCAAAATTTGCAGAGATTTGCAGTGTTTCATATCAAATCTTTTCTATACATAATTTTACAAATTGTTTTGACTTCAGTCTTCTGTTTGGTGCTATGGGGCCACTTCCAATTTTGGTCACTGCTTTATCTTATTCAATTTAGCTCGTCAGCTTAAAGTGGCAAATGCAAGAGTTGAATCTTAAAATGTATTAAAGTACCTTAACTATTACCAAAAATGTATCTTATCTTTGTATAGCTGGCCATACACCTTACAATTATCTGCAGATTTTCTGTGGTCAGGTGGAAAAGGTGCAACAGATTCCTCCATCTACACTTAACTGTGTGCATGGAGTAATCTCCACCTGGGCCAATGTTACACTTTTTCCATCTGACCACAGAAAATCTGCAGATAATTGTAAGGTGTATGGGCACCTTATCGCTTGGCTGTAGATCCTCTAAATTTGTGTTGACACTACACTTCTGGGGGGTGGCTACTTTTGCTCCCTATGGTCCCTGTGTGTTGTAAAAGTAGCCACCCCTCCACGATCACTCCTGTGATGGACTACAATCTCCTGTTTAGTTTACTAATTTGTCTTGAGATTGTAGTCCATCACAGGCGTGAACTTGGAGAGCAACCATGGGAAACAAATGTAGCCACCCTCCAGAAAGCACACATTTTAAAGATTTTCAGCTGAGTGATACACAAATAAGCTACATTTTTGTTAATACGGTATTTAAATGCATTACAATTTCACTTTTCATTTAAAGTTTAGTGCCACTTTAAACTCTTTAAATTTTTATGGAATGGCCCAACAAAACTAGTTTGGAGTATTGTAAGTGTTTTTGTAGTGATCTACAGGTTTTTGCAGTGACCTGTCATTAAGTTGATCCTACATAAAATAGTTGAAACTGATGCATGTATTTTATATTCTAAAAGCCCAAATGAAAATATATAAAGCATGTGGAGAAACGTAATGGTAACTGTATAGCTCACAATGTATCACTGAAAGGTATTAGAGTTGCAGTTTTAGAAAATTAGACTTAAAACAATGCAAACTGCCAACTTGGAGTATAAAGTTCTAGAACACCCTCTAAATGACATAATATAATTTGTGAGAACTCTATATAAATGCTTGGGGAAGAGTGTTACAATTGGCACCTGGGATTTGTTCAGCCCTGGACTTTTTCTAGGAGTACAACCAGGTAGCCAATGCTTCTGACTTGCACCTCATGCCTAAAGCTGGCCATGACCCAATTAGCGAATAGAAAGTTGAAAGTTATTTTGAGAATCTAAGCAGTAAGGCCAGCTTAAAAACAAAAAATTTTAATAAAAAAAATAGTTGTAAATGGAGCCAGCTGACTCCTGAATTGCATAATTTGCTCGCCCCTAAAATGAGGTATGATTCTTCATAGAACAACCTCTCGTGTTGCAGCCATACAACAATCTTGCGCAGCAGATGTCAGGATATTGGGTTAAATTCATAAATGTTAGTGCTCAAAGTTTGCATCATGTGAAGTCCCTAAGTTGGGGTACAAAATTTTCTACCTGGAAAGTTACGGTGTTGTAAACAAAGCCCTGGCCTATTTGCAGTACAATTCAGACTTATTTAAAGTGTTGGAACGGTTTACTTATCATTCAGTCCTGCGATTAATCCTGTGTGGTGCATATCTTGGGTTAAGTACATCTTTGTAGTCTCAAGACTGCCTGTTGGTCTTTTTTTTATTTTTTATAAAGAGGGTGGATTACACAGTTAAAGCCGTTCGGTAATTTAGTAACTAAAATGCACAGTCTGCCTAGAGTGCTATTAAACTTTAGCACCTATCCTTCTATTTTGTTAAAGTGGGCAGATTGCCTGACTTTTTTTAAATTTGTTTAAATTTTTTTTTTTTTTTATAGGCTAGCCATAGATGGGCGGAAAGCTTGAATATAAAGGCACATGTTGTCCAACTTGCTCAGCAACGAAGTGGTACACATATGGTCTACTGCTTCCTTTCATGCATGGTTATTCCTCATTCTCTAACTTGTTTATAACAATCGTACTGTAATGTTGGTTACCACTAGGCTAGCACAAAGTAGTCGTGCTTGGTACCCTCGTTCAAGGAACACACTTTTGCATTGGTCTATTTGACTGAAGTCTTGCCATTGGTACTTGACAGCCATCCTCTTGGTTGTAAGCAAATCTGGCTAGCACGATAACAGGATTCTGAAGTAGCAGAGCAATGAGCCTGATTAACCAGCATCCCAATGGCTAGTGTTGCCCCAAAACAAATTTAAAAATGTAATTCTCAAATGTTGACTTAATTCCTGAGCAGACTTTAATATGGTGCCCATCGGGGGCACTTTCAGAAATGCTTCTATGGAAGGGTTTATTAAAAATAAAAGTTGGGGTGGGGGAAATGTCTGCCTATAACTAGGCCTATTCCAGCTTTTATTTGTTAGTGCAAGTTGTGGACACCATAAGCAACACTACTGCTAGCCGTGTACCTAAATAGTCATTTGGATGAGAGAATTGTATCTTCTAGATTCAGCAAACTGCCATTTTGCATTTGAAAATGACTAGTTCTGGCACACAATCCAAATTTACCATCTTTTCATAAAGAGAACCTTTGTTCTACTCTTTTTTATAAACTAAAAGTTATGCCATCATAATCAAGTGCTGTAAAAGGTCTGGCTTGTGACCAAACTTTGGCCTAAACATGGAAATTGTTACAGTAAACCTACTGGAATGTGTTTTTACCAAGTAGTGCTATAGGTTTTTTGTTTTTTTGTTTGCCATTTGGCCTTTCAGTATAGTTTTTATGTAAATCTGGTGTTCTAATTCTAGACTACAGAGCAAGTTATGCTTTATATTGGCCTTGGTCCAGTGTACTTTGGATAAAAAAAATAAACCTTCAAGTCTGACTTTTATGCTTGTGCCTTAAGATTCAGTTATTTTGCTATAAGGCAACAATGGGGAAACTACTGAAACGTCTCCTAATGCTTCAGGCTATGCAACCAAGTCATGATACCATATCAGTTGAAAGTCACAGGTGAACTGACTGGGCTACACTTCTTAAATTGCTGTTTCGTTAGTGCCTGATCATATTGGGTTACTTTTCCAGCGTTTACCATCTTAAAGAACTGTGGCTAAGCTATGGCTTTTAACAGGTTTTTAATATTCTTAAAGCTTAACTCCAGTATGCAGCAATTTAAGTTTACAATCTGCCCTTATTTTAACCTTTTTAGGTAAGTTTTCACAAAACTAGAGAATCGGGCTTGTGGCCACCATTTCTACCCATTCTGCTATGCACTGGCTGGTGAGTCATGTGGAGCCAGCACATCACTTGACAAATGCCCATTTTATCATTGACCGTTTGGGGAAAATGGCTACCAAGTGAATACATACAACGTTGTCTAAATGAGCAGTGTAAATTGCACTGCACAGCAGAAGATCCTAATAGAGCTACATTTCCATAAACTTTTTTTTTTTTTTTTTTTTTTAAATTGCATTAGATGTTTTGTGCTGTACTACTTGTACAGGAGCAGTGAGGAAAGCAGCAAATGTTATACTCAAACTTTGCATTCACACAGAGCAGAACCGAATGTAGCATACTGTCAGCATCAGAGGCACTGGGCCTTGGAGTTGACTTTCTCCTCCATATGAAACTGGCTCTGACAGTTGTGTGCGCTACATATGACATCAGTGATAACACCCTCTTCAGATCAAGATAGTTTACTGTGAAGCTTAGTGGTGGGGTGTTGCTTGATCGAAAGTGTGCCTGCTGTCATACCCTTCAATGAAAATGCATGGGCACGCAATTTGGTGCAAAGCTGCTCAATTTTAACCCTCCCCATCACTAGAAACAGTTGGGCTTGATCAAGATTTTTGTACTCCCAAGGCACTGTGAAGCAACTGATCCTCAAGTTCACAGTAAAAGGGGTAAAGTTCTAGATCTTGGCACTGAGGGCTTGCTAAGAATGTAAATATTTTAACCACCTAGCAACAGTTCTACTGTACAGTTTGTTTTTGGGACTTGCACACTTTTTTTCTAGCGTAAAATAGGCTTTCAGGTGCATTCCAGTGTGTTCTGGATCAGAGAAAATGAGGCTAGCAGTTTTTTTTTGTTTTTTTAAATTTGTCTGGACCATAAACTGCGCTGGGGTCAACGGAGCCCAGAAATACCATAGGAATACATTGAGATTTTTTTTTTTTTTGATCCAGGAACAAACTGTTCTCATCTGGACATGGTGTGAACAATCCCTGAGAGAAGATGACTTGTAGGCTTTGCTCCCTGCTTTTCAGTGCTACACAGGCTCCCTTTGTGCAAAGTCTCTGCAATTAATGGGAAAAAAAAGCAGATTGGTCCTAGTTTATAATGGATATGGGTTCCTTTTTTCTACATCTTAATCATTTGTTCAAGCTGAAATTTTTATACATAGATCA